CTGAGGAGAGCAGAGAATAATTCTTGCCTATCAGACAGACAAAAATCAAAAGATGGGAGAAAGAGCCAAGCTGGTAGATGCAGCCAGCTCAGTGAGAACAAGGTTACTCGAGGGGCCACGCTCCTTTAGCTGCTGCTGTGAGAAAGTGTTGCTGCCAAACACCATATTCAGCCTGTGGATCTCTGAGAGCAAACGTACAGTGTGCCAGGTGCTGCTGGAAGGAGGTCTCCAGGGCTCCCCCATCCCCTCGCTGTCTACAAGACAGGAAAATGAACCCTGACACATTCTGGGCATGAAATCCACAGACTAACAATGAGATTCCCTGAAATACAGACTGCTGAGATAGAGCGTGAATCTCCTAGTCTTTTAAATCTCATTCAGAGCTGACAAAATGAGGTAGAGGCTGCAATTCTCTGCATTAACTGCAGCAAGTTATCTGCTTCTCAGCCTTAAGACTCCCCTGGCAATCAGTCTTTGCTGAAACTTGCAGGATCCAAAAGCCAATTTTTTTCCCCTTCTATTGCATCCATTTAACCCCAGAACAATACTGTCACCATTTCTGCCATGTCATCCACTCATTTTTCCTTCCACACCTCCTCCCCAAAAGCCAGAAGGAACACTAAGTGTTTGGAACCCTGGTGACTGGAGACAGCTCTACCTTAGCAGCACACAGCAGCTCTGTGTTACAAACTAGTTTACCAGAGGAAAATGAGAAAAGATGAGGCTTGACCCAGCAGCTCTTCAGATCAGTCTTCAGGGAAAAGAAATGGCAGGAAAGTCATAAAATGAAACCTTGCCCTGTCCAGGTTCCAGCCAGCAGGTGCACAGGCTGCAAATCCTCTGTACTTCTGTGCAGCAGCTACATGGAGATCCACCTCTGAGCCACCAAACCAAGCCACAGGTTGCTCACTTCAGTCCCTGCTACTGTGCTACATGAAGTGCCATCCTCTGAGCTGTCCCCTTTCGTGTCACAGGGGAATGACAAAAAAAGCCTGTCAGAAGTATGTCTCCCTCTACTTCTTTGTTGGTAGAAGACACTGGCATTGAAATACACGCTGTTTGAAGTGTGGTGCAACTCACCTTCTGGAGTGACACTGCAAAGCCAGGCCCTCAGGATTTGTAGGGCAGCTACAAGTGAGCACAGAGGTGAGGACAGTGCCCTTTCCTCTTATCAGTGCTGCCTTCCAGCAGGAAAGGATGAACTAGAAGCTAAAAGTAGCACACAAGGTCAAAAGTACTCTGGCTTCCCACTGATGGCTAGCAAACCAGTGACCCAGCCAAGGAATAGAAAAAATCTTTGCCATTATTCTTCCCAAGCATGAGAAGTTCAGCTTCTTCCCTGTCTTTAATAGCACAAACACAGATTCTGAAGCCTTGTGGACACCATCCCTTGGAGAACCTGAGTTCTTGGGCCAACACAAATAGCACCACCTGTGAGATTACATTACTCTTCACCATCTGACCAAGACTGGAATGAGGTCAGAGCATTGTCTGGTGCCCCGTTGGCACCTCCCTGTGCCTGCTGCCCCTGCCTGGCAGGCAGAGCCAGGGGGGGGCTGCAAGTCTTGTCTCCAGGACTTGCCTGCACACAAGTGACACTGGAATTCACATCTGAGCTGAAAGGCAAGATGGAATGAAGACAAGGAAGCTGTGGTGAGCCATGCATGAGACATCTGTAATAACAGAGCTCTATCTGGAACTGGTAACATCAAGATGTCCACACTTGACACCACAGAGAAACCAAACCCTTAATGAGAAGGGGATGGAAAGGCAAAGAAGCCAAAAACAGAGGACTGAGGGTTCAACCTCATCCCAGGCTTCCTTCTGCATTAATCTTCTGCCATTCCCTACCTTTAACCAAGGACACAGGATTTACATTCAGGAGACAGATTTTGTGCTGGGAAGAAAGAGCAGTGAGGAAAAAACAGCGTTTTGTCAGCTTTTAGGAACTGCTCAAGGCTGCCAAGTGAAGCACTGACAACCTGAGAAGTTTAAATACTGTCAGGCAGGAGTTTTACATGGAAGAAAAACAACAAAAAAACCAGTTCATTTCCCTACTATACACATTTCATTCTTAGGCAATATCAAAGCTACATGGTAATTGCTAAACTGAACCTATGCTCCAGTGAACAAACCAATGACATCACTAGTCTAAGATTCACCTCTGCATTAATACTTAATACCCAGAACCAGGTGATTTTAATTTTTACAGAAATGTGTTTATGTAGTCAAAATGTAAACTTAGCATCTAAAATAATCTGACACTTAAATTAAAAATCCTGGGTGAAAATGAACACAGGCAGTAATTGTTCTGCAGAATCAGAATATATTCTGGATGGAAGTTACCAGTCATGGGCAGGTCAAATTTGCATTCAGCTGGTTAACCAAAGATTTTATACTAGTTATAGTACCTGTAGCTGTACTCATATGCCTTCCCATTTCATTGGGGAAGAGTTTATTGCCAAGTTAGGAAAATAAATTAATACATTCAAAAGAGAAGATGTGAGGAGAACTAGATAACTGATGGTATTAAAAGTCTTACCCTTTGAGTATTGTTTCAACAGCTACTTATTAAACTAATTAAAGAAATGAGAGATTCAAACACTGTGCAGCATAGAATAGCTTTGCAGTTCCTGAAAATCCCAGTCTGGGCCTGCAACACAAGGATCAAAACTCAGAAGAAAAAAAACATCCACTTTTAGTTCTTTTTGAATAACCACTCATGTCGTTTTGATACTTCACACAGAGTCCCTCCAAATCCATCCTCTTGTCCAGTTCTTACACTACCTGAAGTACCTGCTTGGATTATGATGCAGTGATATGTAACAGCCTCGAGTTTTTTAGGTACCAGTGTTTACTGATGTTAGTGAAGACAAAAATGTCTCTGAACACCAAATCTTCTGTTTAATACGAAGGGAACCAGGCTCCAGGTTCCCAACACCCCATTTTATTACCAAACCTGTTTTCTCACAGAAGCAGCCTTGCAGCATGTAGCCTGGCAATTAAAATCAGAGGCATAATTTGTCTAGACCTTGGTTATACAACTAAGGATTTTCTCTAGAGAGTGTGCAAGTGAGGCTACAGCTACAGAAATGGCTTTATGCTCTGACAGTCTCATTAGCACAACCCCGGAATGGCTTCAGCATTAAAAATAGCACAAAAAGATGCAGTTTGTTCCTTCATAATACATCACATGAAGACACCACCCTTCATGATGAAGGCTGTGGTAGCTTTACAAAGCACACTCTTTATTAAATGACAGTATCTTATGCCAAAATGGACTGCAGGCACACCACATGCAAGATTTTCCTACTTGTATCTCAAATCATCAGGGCTCCAACTGGCCCTGAAAGCCACAAACTGCCTTACAGGCTTGGATGTGGAAACATGTCAGCTGCACAGCAACTCCCTCCAGGAAAGAGGGAATATAGAGCTGCTTCATCATCATTCTTCCCAGTGAAGCAACTGCTCCCAAGTGCACAACTCCTACTCGCAGTAAACGTTAGGATTCCAGCCCAGATTCCAAGCCTTAATTACAATCTGTGTTGGGGCAGGATAATTGGTGGACCCTGGAAATGAACACTTCTATGCTTGCTAATGCACTGAACGACAGGGCTAAATTAATGTCTCATTATTCCACTACATAGGGAATAATTTTGCTACTAATATACAAAGTCAGGGGACACCTGAATGACAGATCTTTTAGTCTGCCATGTACAAAGTCATTTATAACCCTGCTTTAGCAACTCCTGATAAAATTCTGCACACAAACTATCTGTGTGTAACTAGTGTGAGATGTCCCTGCTTATTGTAGGGGGGTTGGACTAGTTGACCTTTAGAGGTCCCTTCTAACCCAAGACATTCTATGACTCTACATAAAATACAGAATTGTTTTGGTTGGAAAAGACCTTTAAGATCATCCAGTCCATTCATTAACCCAGCACTGCCAAGGCCACCACTGACCCATGTCCCTCAACACCAAATCTACACAGCTTTTTACCTGTGATTAAACACATACACATGTCTGGGTGTGCATTTGCTCTGTGGAGACACCCAGGAATTAATGTCTTCTCCATCTTGCACTCCTGATTTCCTTCTACCACAAGACCAGCTGCCAAGTGCTTTAGCAGTCACGACTCTACATGAGAAATTGCTAAATCAATGAAAAACCAGGATCCCATTATGCACTGACTCAGTGCAGATGTACAGCTCTGGCTCTCTAGTCAGGATCTGCTACTAAACATATTTGCTTACAGAACTAATAAGCTCAAACACAATTTCTTCCATGTAAACACCAGATCAGTTCTGCAGTGTTTCCTACTTCCACCAGTTCACTGGTTGCCAAGTGGTTTATCCTCGTTAACACAAATGCTAGAACTTCATCTAGCAGGTCAGACTTTGAAGAGCCACAACTCATCTCAACAGAAAACCTGGTTTTGTTGCAGTTCCATCAGCTCAAAAGACATGTCCTTGCTTTCCTCGATTCAAAAGCTGCTCAACTACCAGAAATAAACAGCTTCAAGCTGTCCAAGAACAATTGTTCACACTTTCAGTGCCTTCCAACAGAGTGGGAACACCAGTTTACACTGTCTCACTGTACAGTGGAAGCATTTTAAGGCATCACATTCTTCCTTGACTGGTTTTCTTTCACTGAATCCATGTCAGAAACAGTCCTCAGACCTGTGTTCCCCTAACCTTTTGCCTCGTGCTTTAATCCCTTCAATCTAAACACCAAATCCTGGATCAAGAGACTCCAGGAAGGTATGAATCCACACTCACAAAGCCTCTTCAAGAATTCTCTTTTTTTATAAAGGGAAGAAGTTCCAGGTCAGGGATCCTTCTGAACTTCAGCCAACAAAATGACTCCAAAATGTTGCTCCCTATGTATGGACTAAAAACATCCCTCTGACCCTTTCCAAAGGCTTCCCAGTGTCCTGTTTCCATAACAGTGCATGAACAGAAGCAGTCTCAGGGCTGGCTGCAGCCAACCCCTTACTCACCTGTTTTACATTGTATCCTGCTTTTGCACTAGTTTCAATGAACATTACATTCAGCTCTTTGGCTTTTCTTTCTCCTTCCTCAATGGACACTTGTCTGGGGAAGATAACACAAAATTAGGAAAACAAACAAACACCTTGAAAATTAAGATCTTCCTCTTCAGCCCAAGGAGGTGACTGCCATTACAGTTCTGAAAACACTGGTTTTCCCCTGCACACAGACCCCACCAGCTGTAGACAAGCATCACCATTTCATCCTACCAGGCACCCCTTGCTCCATCCAAAGCACAACTCTGCATTCCAGTGGAACAGCAACATGTGCCAATAACCCCCTCCAAACCCCTGTCCAAGAAGCTACACTTCATGTCTGAACAATTAACAATCAATCTATTTAATACCCAATTAAAATAATTAACTTGCTGCCTACTAAACTGTTTTAACAAAGGATCAAGTACAATCACCTTACATCAAATGAATTTTGCCTGTTTGCCCCTGCCTGGGTGTCCCACTCACTGAGCAGCCTGTTACAGCAAGACCTGAGGGGAACTTGGGTTCAAGAGCTGTCAAACAAAAATCATCATGTATCCGAGGGGCATATGTGTGCATAAACAACTCTTAAGATGACCTTAGCAATGTGAAGTAAGGGTCAAAAGTGAAGCTATTCTGAGGGAACAGGGATTTCAATCAAATCCAGAATATTTCCCTCATGTTTTTTGTTTTGCCTTTGTGACTTCTGACTCCTTTGTGTTAAGGACACCACAAACCCAGAATTAAGAGAGTAGGCAACGCAGTAGAAGCTAAAGATACACAACTCCTAACACAAATATTGAAGTTTGCCCACTTAGGAAAATCACTGAGGAGTTTAAAAAGGGAAGATTACTTGCATATATATCTGAGCAAATCTATTCAGCATGAATATTTGTAACAAGTTTAGCTTGTTCATTCACTGATGCAGGCTGCAGTTAACACTCCCCTCTCTCCTGACATCCAAACAAGCTGATGACAGTTTCTCAGCTCCTTCACAGCATTGTGCTGGAAATTTGTGGTTAACCAAATAAAAGACATTTTCAATTTGAGATTTCTCTAGTCACAGCCATCTCCAGCACAGTCAAAACAAGCTCCAATGTTTTGGGAAAGAAAAAAAAATAGTGCAAGTGTTCTTTTTAAAATAGTTGTCTAGGAGAAAACAGCAGCAGCTTAAGAAAGGCATTTGAAAGATGAGTTATTCCTTCATACCTCTTATCTGCTAGATCTGTTTTATTTCCCACCAGCATAATGATGACATCACTGCCCCTTTCCGTTCTGACATCATCAATCCATTTTGTTGTTTGCTGGAACGAGTTTACATCTAGCAGAGAACAGTGGAGAGGATTATCACTGCAGGCATTCTTCACAGATCACTGGTAAATACATCTGTAAGTCTCAAATAAAAGCTTCAGGTTCTCTGGAATTGGCGTAACAGGGTGATGAAGAATCAGCAAATGAAACCCCATGTCTCCCACATTGAAACAGAGGAAAACTCTGGCATTCACTTAAAATGGATCAGTACCTCACCAGAGGTGACCTCAAAGGCAGGGAGTGAAGTGAGTTCATCTATAATTTGATTTTGACAACGTCTAAAATAAGAAGTTTTATCACTGTGTTTTAGACGAGTTCCTTTATATTTAATTCAATATAAAGTATTTTATATAAAGAATGGGGATTAATGTGATCAGGCACCCTGCACTGCTCATGACATGTGCATCTGCAGCAAGAGGTCCCTACAGCTCCACTGCTTCTCCAAAGTACTTAATACCAGCTCCACATTCTGTACAGCTTAATCATTTTTTACTTGCTAGGTCTACGATCTTCCCTAGGAAATATCTGGGTTATACAACATACTAATAATTCTGATTTCAAAACAGTTTCCAAATCATTTGCATAGAACCAGAAATACAAATTTAGCCTGTCCACAGAAACTTCTGGTTAATGCTGTGTCCTTAAAAGCCCCAAGTTAAGAACTGTAGGAAGCCATCCTGATCTAATGCCACTATGGTGTTTGAAAAGTTGCATCCCATAAGAAAAAAACAGGTTGGAACTGCCACGGAGCTCAGCATTTGCCAGGGAGCTACAGAAAGAGTTGCCAAAGTAGTTTGTGGTCCTTAAAAACAGGGGGGAGCTCTGCAGCAGTTCTTAACAAGTATTGATTATTTTTAATGTCTTCCACTGCATAGCAGCATCTCATGTGCTAGGCAGTCAAGACTTGATCACTTGCCAGGGCCTTAATTCTTCTCTTTACTAATGGGTAATATTGAATTTGCTAGGTCAGCAAAAAGGTTCACAGCTAACCTGCAATTTTACCTCAACTGAAAGTGCTAATTTTAACAATTAAAGCTTTTCTAGGTGAAGCCTGTATTCCTGCAAAAAAAACTTCTGGTATTTATAAATCAAATTACATTTGTAGAGAATTAGGCCATTGGTCTCAGTCAGTTCTGGTTCAGAACTGCAAAATGTCTGAAGGTTTAGTTCTCGTAAAGCAAAATTTCTGCTCTTTGTACATACAAAAAGTTTGTAAGTTAGGGGTCTCTGGACTGAGGGGAGGGAGAGAAGGAGAAGAGTTGAAAAAGCACTAATATTTTAGTTCACAAAAATGTACATACCTTAGTAAGAAATGAAAGAGCAATTGTTAAAGGAGAAGGGCTTAGTGGTAAGTTTTACATATTGCAAAATGTGAAAGCAACCAATTCAAATGAAAATGTGATGTTAATGCATTTCCCCCCCCCAGCCCATGCCCAGATTTATTGAGGGGGGGGGAGGGCAAATGGAGTGAAGCAACCTACAGCTATCAGTGCAAAATCTGTAACTGAGGAACTCAGATATCTATGAACATGATTCAGGTGTTTGAGACCAAAAGTCGTAGGTGATATTACAATCAAAAAAGCAAATGAAAGAGGATCAAGTGCAACAAGACCAGCCAGGACTCAAGGCTTCAGGAGAATGCAACAGGAAAAGGGTTACAAAATGATGTTGTTTGTAAGACAGTTTGTACATGACAACCGCAGCGATCGGGTGACGAGCTTAAAACTTGACTACAACGAAAGAAACTCATTTCTTTTTCCATGCCAGAATGAAGAACAAGCAGATGACTGTGACAGAACATGCAAAGCTAGGCTAAAGGATGAAAGGGGCACAGTATTAGAAATGCAGAATTCCCCCCACTCACTTGTGATATCATAAACAACAACTGCAACAGTGGAGTCACGAATGTAGCTAGGAATCAAGCTCCTGAACCGTTCTTGACCTGCTGTGTCCCATAATTGCAACCGTACCTAACAAAATCAGTCAAACAAGCAAGAAAAATAAGAAAGAGGTCAAACCCAGTGCATTATACCTACTTGTGATATCGTAAACTACTACAGCAGCAGCAGAGTCACGGATGTAACTGGGAATGAGGCTACGGAAACGTTCCTGACCCGCAGTATCCCACAGCTGCAACCTGATCTGTGGGTGGGAGAAAATTAAAAAAGCCAAACTGCCACTAAAAGAGTATATAAAATTTACTTAAAAAAAAAAACAAAAAAACTAAATAAAAATTATAAACTCATGCAGGAGATGACTGGGGGGTGGGAGCAGCAGCTCCCTTCTCTCCTTCTTTACAGCAATCTCTCCCAAGCACTAGTAGTAGCTGAGCTGGTACCTATACATCTATCTTAGTTTTCTGCTGGTTTTTTGCTTTTTTTGAAAAAAATGCTTCCCTTCCAAAAGGGGAGAAATCGGACTGATTACTCAGCTTTCAAACTGAGAGGGACCAATGAGAAAACTAAGGTGAATGTTCACCTGCAGCTCTGCTGCTATCTTTCCTCAGGACTCGAGCACATAACCCCAGTGTCCTGGAGGACGGTTGCTGGTGGGAGGTAATTCAGACCTCACACCAGACTTCTCAAGGAAAAGGCTCCAGCTGCTGCCAAAGAACTGGAAAAGCTACTAATGTGGATTTTCCAAGGAGGATAAAACACTAGTTATTACTCTCTATTTAAGCCTCAGCCACACTGCAGGGTAACCTGCACATAGATGAGGCTGAATGTCTCTTTCTGAAAGAAAAGGCAAGATACACTAAAAGCAACAGGTATGGCAAGAGGTGCCAGGGCCAGTTTTGCTATGGAAAGAACATTCCACTGCTCAGCACTGTCAATGCAATCACATGTATTGAGGGTTTATGCCATCAGCTTATGCAGCACTGCACAGTTTGCTTCTGCAAATAGCTCAATGGCTGAATTTCTTAATTAAGAATCTGAGCTCATTTAAAACCGCAGGCTTGCTTCCAGAGGAGTGATTTCATTTCAGGAGCTAGAGCTGCAGCAAGCTAAGAAACAAGTAGTGTTTGTGGATTATTGTTGAAGGCAACCTTCTTTTTAAAGAAGTAACATCAAGAACTATCAAGCTAGTTATTAACAGGCAGCATTTGGCAATTAATATTTTATCCTCTGTCTTGTGACATCTAAAACAGAAGGGGTCAAGCATGGTTCACTTTTACATATTCCCACCATTCTCCAGCCTTCAAACTATCCGTATCATCTCTTTCTTCAAAGAGGATGACACTAAAGCACCTTCTGCTGCTTGTAAAATGGCACTCAGGAGCCCTCCACAGACGAAACAAATGGTGATCTCCCTTTTCCCCACACAGAGATGGGAGCTCTCTCCACAGCACTCATTAGTCTTGGAAGCAGCTGGTAGATGAAGGCTCAGTCTGTACTTCCAAGTGATCTCAGAACTGTGGGCTGCACAATTACACCAGATGCTGATCCTCATTCCTACTGTACATAGAGAAGTGCAACAAAAATCTTACTCACTGTTCGATCCTCCAAATACATGGTTTTCGATAAGAAGTCGATGCCAATTGTTGCCTGGAAAATAAAAAGAAAAAAAAAATGGAAAAAAATAACATCTCTTAAATGAAATGTCAGAACAACTGCAGTGATTTTCCAGGGAGTAAGAATAACTACCACAGAGTTCTGCACCTGCAGTGAATCTGAAAGAAAAATATGCTGGGATGTAACTCTACCTGTAGGATTCAGGCAGTTTCTTTAATATCCATAACCAGAACAATATCTCAAAGCACAGAAAGTTGGTTTACTCCAATTTTGGTTTATGCACATAGACACTTTAATCCATACAAACACAGAGGCATTAGCAAGAATTTTTATGCATATGGCCCAAGTCAGTGTCCATCAGCTGAACCAGCATATCTGGGTACACTGTATTCTTCCTGACTGTCAGATATTTTAATGTATCTTAACTTCAAGCCTTTTTCATGAAGGCCAAGGTGGACATCTCTACATGTGCTGCAACTCAGATTGTGCACACACACACAGCCCCCAACAATCAGTAAAGCTCAAACAATACTGATGCTCACTGCAGCATCACTGCACCCAAGTTTCTAAACGCTAGTGGGAGCTTCATGTAGAGCATCCTTAAATGGGTTCAAGAGAAAGAGCAAAGCACTACTAAGCACTATCAAGAGCTGCTTCTTCACAACAAGATCTTCAGCCTGCTGTTCAAGGCTGCAGGGAGAGTGAAGCCAAGCTCTAGGAATTCATTTGCAGCAGGAACAAGAGTGAGCTGACCTGCTGGGGCTCTAAGGCTGCCCTGGCTTCAGCAGGACACTGAGCACCTAAAGCAGCTGCACTGCTCAGCAACATCAATAGAGCCTGCAATATGTTCCAAACAAATTGATTTTAAAAGACAGAAAATAAGGGGGAAAAAAAAAAGCAATAGATGAGAGATAAGTGTCTCAGCTAGGGCAGAGACACTCAACACAACCTCTTCCCTGCTCTCCCACACTGAAGTATTTCTACTGGAGAGCCTATTTTACCATATCTGCTATATATTGTTAGACTGCTATTATGCCTCAACTATATAGGCCCATAATTAATTCCCTGCATTCTGCCAGACAGTTTATGTGATAGGAATAAAGAACAGAGCCACTCAGCCTGCTTAGGAGCAATACAGAAGAAAACCAGCTGCAAATTGAATAAAGCACTGGAATAGGTTGCCCAGGGAGGCTGTGGCTGCCCCCTCCCTGGAGGTGTTGAAGGGCAGGTTGGATGAGGCTTGTGCAGCCTGGGCTGGTAGGAGGTGTCCCTGCTCATGGCAGGGGAGTTGGGATCTGATATTTAAGGTCCTTCCAACCTTAACTGTTCTATGAAATGAATTTAAAAATGCAGAACAAAACAACCCAAACTGAATTTCCATTTGCAACAATATAAACATAGATCAAAACCCAAACTTTTCTGACTGGATCAGGACACCAGTTTTGGAGTTCCAGAGTTGCCTATGGGAAATATAAATACTGGTGGATCCCAGTGATTTTCATCTAATAGCAAGAACCATGACATCACCCGTTCAGAGAGGATACTGAAATTCTTAAGGTGGTTATGGAGAAGCCTCAAAAGACTAATGCAACAACATGCTTCCCTTCTGCTTTTGTTTTCTGTTGTTCTGGTAGAGCACATTCCTCAGAAGATTGCCTCAAAGATGCTTCTATTTTTCCTCATGAGTATTTAGTCTTGCTTTACAGAAGAAAAGCTACAAAACCCCTAAGATCTTACACCATATATACAAGTCTGCCTGGCAAACTGCTGGAGACTCAGATTTTCTCTGCTCTCAGTAGGAGTTGGAACATCAGCTGCAAAGCCTGAAACCTGCCTCAGCCCATACTTCATGCCATCCCTCCCACACAGCCCACAGGAGCTCTAGAGCTCACTCCTTGGTGTACCAAGTCTCTGTATGACTGGTGGAAATATAAATGCCAAGCAAAAACATCTGGTCAGTGAGATTCCTGCACTTTGTTGCTCCTGGCATGGGAATGGCAACAGAAAGGCCAAGTATAAAACTTACTTTAGATCTGGGCAATGAAAACATTTATGCTAATCATTTTGAAAAGAATGGATGGCAGGTCTATTATTTTCAAGCTATGAAATAGCTCCTGACCTAAGCCACCCCAGAGCTTGAAATATTACATGGAGTAACTTGCAACCAAACATATTTGCCCACCCATATTGCTCAGTCCATGTCACAACAGGACACATGTCACAGCAGCAGATGTCAAGGAACAGATTCAGGCACTTTAGATCCCAGCCCTTTACTAAAATAGGTAACCTACAATGAGGCATTTTGTCACAGTTCTTGCAGAAGGAACAAAAAAGCTTAGGGGATCTTTACAGTTCAGCCGTAAAGAAGAGCCGTGCAATCTACGTGTAGAGGAAAAGTCTGCTGACTGATGGGGAAAAAAGGCAGGCAGATGAATCTAAGCTAATTACCATAATTAAGGTGGAGGCAGGTTTAACCTGCTTGTGGAATGCTATGTACCACCCAGACCAAGCAGGAACTAGGAATGCTCTGAACATGGTGGGAGGTACTGGAAGACCCAACTGCAAGTTTAAAGGAGACCAGCAGAACAAAAAACCTCAGAGAGGGCCACACTGTAGATCAGGTCATCTATGAGAAGACTTTTAAATCCACCTGTCCTCACCAATATCACTGTCTAACAAGGAACTGTTGTCATCCCATTTTATAGACTGTACTTGGTGACACAGAATTACCCAAGACTATGCTAGAAAGCCTGAGGCAAAGCAACAACCTGAATTGTCTTTCTAGCCATAGGCCAGTGTTGCAACTAAATGCTGTCCTCCTTCTCCCTCCTCCAAGAGGATCTAGCTAAAGGGAAGCGTGGTCTGTAATTCTTCTCTTGCATAACACACACAGAACCATCATGTTTGCCAATGTTGGTCTTCATTATCCATCACATATGGTGTTACAGAACAAGGAAAAATCTTCCCCAGCATGTCCATGGAGAGCAGTCACTCCTGGTAAAATACACACCACCGGTGGCATGATTTTATTTCAGGTGTTTGAGGTTTCCTTGACACAGTACAGAGAGTTCTTCTTTGATTCACAAGTGCTGCTTTCATGAAAACAGCTTATTAACAGGGTACAGGCAACAGCTGAACTCCTCTTATCTAGCAGCAAGCAAAAGAAAACGAACACACAGCACAGATTTGATTAAACGGCAGCTTTCTATTTTTACCAGCTGAGTACAAAAAAACCTTGTCCAAATGAGAGGTTGTGGCAGCTTTCAGAAGATGTGCATTCAAAATTTATCAGAAATGTCCAGAACAAGCAAATCATCCATCAACTAGCCCACAGCTGCAGTTAACACATACAGGGTTTGATGTGTGTTATCATTCAAGGACGTGGCTCTCAGAGGTCTCTGGAGACTCTTGAGCATCAAGAAATTTATATTCTGGTTTGACACTCACGTGTGGTGTGATTTTGGCCAAATTACTGGAGCTTTTATGCTTCATTATTTCTTGCAGCTTCCTCAAAATAGGACATAACACCCTACCTCAGCCATGATTTCAGTAAAATAGAGGTCTTTGGATGAATGACACTACACCAAGTACATTAACACCCAAACGAGGCACGCGCCAGTGAGAGCTAAATTGAAGCTATCTTGGAAGCCCTTAAGATTTCTTACTGTTTTAAATCCCACTTGTTCACTTTGCAATCATTTAGTATATTATGTTGGACCAGCTTCCCATGGAGACAACTATATTATCATAAAGCACAGAGGGTCAAACCTCTTCAGGAAAGAACTAGGACACCAGCTCCATGGAGAAAAGGAGCGGATCTGAAAGGAAAAGACTGTGGGAAAAAAAAACAGATTAAATAAAAGAACTGCATTCACATGTCCATGTAATTACAGTGGGGAGAAATTGAAAGGATGTTTGCTCCCTTGGGAGCAACCATGTGTACTCTAGCCCTCCTACACCATAGAAGTTTTCCTTCTCCCATAGTTCAGTGAGAACTTACATCTCATTCCACCCAACTTGCTGAGCAGCAGCAGTGACGAGAGGCAGGAAGAAAACCAATAAGGGGTAAAGAGATTTAAACAAGATACTTGGACAGAGACTAACAGAAGAGTAACAGCCTGCTTCTCTTTTTTTCCCCCCTTACCTCCTCCTTCCACCCCCCTAAAAAGGCTTTCACATTCATCAGGGAACAGATTTTTCTCAGCTTAGTGTCCTCAGGACAACACCAAGCGTAACCAAGTCATGAAGCATGTTCTGTTTGGAGAAGACACACTTTCTGAAACAGAAGTACTTTCATAGCTCACCACCTTTTCAAGCTCATGCTAAATTCTGGGAGTGGGCCACAATGACTGGCCTCCTTGAATTTAGAAAGCTCTAGCATGTGTCAACTGGAAGTGACTTGTCACCAACCATGAAGCAGTCAGGGAGCTGCTGGGCTGACTGGATTAAAAAACAACCACTGCTTCAGCCCCAACCTTGCCCACACCATCTTGTTTAAATAATAAACAAACAAACAAGCAGTCACAGGCTGAGGACATGCATAACAACCAGCTTTGTGGTCCTGGTTCCAGCAGACATCATAAAATAGCATCCTAAAGGGCAGCCAGCCTTACAAACCACTGCTTTCTGTTCCACAAATCCTTCTTCATCCCGCTGCAGAACCTCTTGCAGCTCACCTTGCTTCTTTTTTGAAAGACCTGAGTACCTGTTACATTTTCCCCACAAAGGCATTAGATTTGGGATGGTCTGGTAGCAAATGGTGAAAAAAAAACCAACCTGGCAGATATAACAACTGCTACTACTTGGGCATATCCTTTCAAACTACAGCTCATCCTGCTGGAAGTAGCACATAAGTTACTCAAGCAGAATCCAACCATGAAAAGCCATTCTCAGAGATTATTAAAATACAAAGCTTACATATTTTAAAGTTAAGAATTTGGTCAGTGTAGCAACCCTTATGCACTGCAATCACTCAGATTCTTCCTGCAATGGAAGACATGGCAACAGAAGGGCCTTACAGAAGACAGCAATATGGATTTACCTGGTAGGTGTTGTCAAAGCTGTCATACATGAACCTGGTGATCAAGGAAGTCTTCCCCACTAGAAGAAGAGAAAAAAAACACACATTCAAGGAACAATTTCAGTGCAATTTTTAAGTAAGTGATCCTAAAATGGCTTCAGGAGGAGTTTCACTCTCTGCTCAACAGATCAGTTCTGTGCAATTTAACTTTCTACAAGCAAAAGAGCAGTTACGTGATTTTACAATTACAAAGTCACTTGTAGGGACATTTTTCTGAAAAAGGTTGGCTCCCGTATCACTCCTGAGCAACAGTTTTACTCCTAAATGTTAGTGGTTTGAGTCAAAAATTGAAATGATTGTTGCAGTTTCTATCAAGTCATCCAGAAAGTTTTAGTTGAACTAAATGAACAAATGTAAGAGGTCTGACAACCCCTACAGCAAATCACTCTGCAGAAGACAGCTCTCCTTGCTGATAAAACAAGGCAGCTACATCACTTTTAAACGCACCTCTCTGTGCATCTCCCCAGTGTCACACTCTCTGTATCTGTCACACCAGTGGCAGTCCCTGCTGTAGTTTCATGGCAGTGCAAGACAAGATTGAAGAGCAGCATTGTTGGGAGGCTTGTTTACCATCCCCCATGATGCCTGCAGCCCTTATCACTCCATTAACATTAACCCTTCCTTTGACAACATGTTCACTAGACCTTTTTATTTAAGAAGGTTCCTCTGCTGTTAAAAATACTGTTCCCCACCAGTGCTGCCATCAGCAGGTGACACTGTGGTGTGTGCAGGCACACCCTGATTGTTACCCAAACCATTCCATGGTGGGAATGGTGCCGAAAAGGGCAATGAAGATGATCTGAGGGATGGAGCAGCTCTGCTCTGGGGACAGGCTGAGGGAGCCTGGTCTGATGGGAGGTGACCCTGCTCATAACAGGGAGGTTGGAACCTAAGGACCCTTCCAATCTTAACCATTCTAAGATTCTATCACAGAAATGCAGGCAAAGCCTTTTCCCTGCAGCCATTTGTGGTGCTGCAGCTCCTCTCTAAATGTGACACATCTTGGCCAGGGTAAATCACAAATTGTCAAGATCCTCATTTCAGTACCAAGTTCTACATAAACGGTGCCTATCACAGTATTTCAAGTCAAAAGTCCCAGACTACCCTGTAATCTCTTTTTCCTTTAAAGACATATAATAAGACGTTCATTTTAAAACAATCATCACTACAACAGTTGCTTTCTACCCCGAGAAAACCAATGAGCTGGGACAAAGCCCAACTTGAATCCAATGGACAACCTTTTCCTGCTCCATGCCACCGTCACCTGGAAGGGATCAGCAAGATATCCAGGACTGGAACACCTTAACCTGCCTCATTTCAATATGTTTAAATATTCTTTAATTTTAGGCAAATTATTTAGGAAACAACCAAAGTAATTCAATAATGTAACACCTCCAGTTGTTTTCTTCTAACCTCTTGCAGCTGGAATCTGTCATCTCCCCCTGGCAGGGGAGAAGATCAAGGAGGCTTATGGTGCCCATCAAACATGGCAGGTACAGATAAAAGGCAGTGAGAAGTGCACAAGCCAAAGCCTGTTTTGTGTTCTTCAAGTAAGCTTCCAGAGGTGTTACTCCTTTGCAAGGGTGATCAAGAGAGAAGGGGAATTTAAACCAAGATTTTGGGAGTGGGTTTGTTTTTTTGGTTGGTTTTGTTTTTTAAATCTTAATATAAGATTTTCAACAAATTCTCTAGTATTGTGCTCCAGCAGCATTTTAATCCATCTGCAAACTTCAGCTAACTCTTCAGAAGTGCTCACCTACCAGGAATCCCAGCAGACAGCTGCTGAGAAAACCATTTTCCCAAGTCAAAATCTGAACTCCTGGGTGAATTTTTGAGATATTCTGCTCTGCAGTCAGAAATCGGGTTTCCCACAACACTGAAAAGCTGCCTTCACAAAAGAAGAGCAAACATTCCCTTTGGTGAGTAGGTTTCCAGAAGCAATGCATCTCAGACAGGCAGCATTCCTGAATTCCTTATTCAAATATGTCCCAGACCCCTATGGATGGGTTGAACAACACCACAAGCTGGTACAGGACAAACAGCCCTGGGAGGAGGGTTTCACTCCAGACTCAGCAACAGGCACAATCCTCAAGAGACACACACAGGCAAATCCAACACCTTTCCCACTGCAGCACACACCGTAAACCCCAGTAGTGGGTTTGTGGCACCACAACAAGCTGACTTTTCCTCAGGTGGCCACTGATGCTAAGAGTCAAATTTAACTCTTTATTGGTGCAAGGGGATGTCATCAAACCCACAAAATAATTTGCTCTGGGAAGTCACAACCCCTGAAGAACACTGAAGTCTCCTGGCAAATAATTTCTTTTCATGCTATATGATGAGATGTCTTGCAGGGAGCTTGTCTAAAATCCAGAAAATCTGAAAACAATTTCTAGTTCATATTCTTTGTGTTACAGAGACAGATATTACAAGGACAGGCTGGGAGAGTTGGGGTGTTCAGCCTGGAGAAGAGAAGGCTCCAGGGAGACCTTAGAGCACCTTCCAGGGCCTGAAGGGGCTCCAGAAAAGCTGGGGAGGGGTTTTTCACCAGAGAGGGCAGTGACAGGACAAGGGGTGAACGTTTTAAACTAAAAGAGGGGAGATTAAGGTCAGACATCAGGAAGAAATTCTTCCCCATGAGGGCAGAAAGACACTGGAACAGGTTGCCCAGAGAAGCTGTGGCTGCCCCATCCCTGGAGGTGTTGAAGGGCAGGTTGGACGGGGCTTGTGCAGCCTGGTCTGGTGGGACGTGTCCCTGCTCATAGCAGGGAGAGGTTGGAACCTGAGGATCTTTAAGGTCCTTCCAACCTATGATTCTACTTCTTAAGATTCCCTACCTTACCTTCATAGAAAAAATAAGGTGTTGCTTGGCTTGCTTATATTTAAACATCTACTTCAACCAACATTTGGACAGAGTATCTTAATGCACTTCAGTTCTAAGCCATTTCTTCTCCTAACAAACCAGTTTTCTTCATACAGAATGTCACCAGCCACCAGATCAAGTTAGTATTAATATCAACTGCTTACAGTTTTAATTCTACCATGACTACTGAAGCATCACAATTTCTCCTTTAATAAACACACTTGCTTTAAAAATCCTGGCAGAAGCCAAAGCTCACAATTCCCACTGTATCTATAATTAAAAGGAAAAGTCAGTGAATTTTCTCTTCAGATATTCACAAGTTTAGATTATATAAACACACACCTTGTCCAGAGGGTTACAGGCTTCAAATATTCCCTCTTTATAAGAGCCACTTCTAATACCTAACACCATCTCACCTCTCCCCAGGCTCCCCACACACACCACCCTGCCTGTCAATGGCAGGAACTATCCCCAGCCCTACAAAAAATAGCTGGATGAATCACCTTAGGATTCACAGACCATCTGTTGCACACTGAAGTGCTGTGGATGCATATGTTGAGTCTCCTGTGGAAGCCCTGCTGCTCTAAGCCCTGTTTCAGAGAGCCTGACCAAAGAAGGAAAACACACAGAAATTAATCTAGTGTCAATGATGTTGATCACATTTCTCCCAGCACAGCACAGGCCCCTGGGCTACTCGTAGCTAAAGCAGTAGCACAAATGATTTTGGTATTACACTGAGTAATTAAATGTGCCTGTATTTACAAGAAACCTAATGCAACAAACTGAACTCCCAGTAAGGATAATCCCTAACTAACAAAGGCAGCCCCCATCATGCAGCTCTCACACCCCAACCTGCAGAAGGAGCTGATCTTTGCTCCCTCCCTTGGCAGACAAACAAGGATGGGCCACTGAGCCACGGTTTGACTTTAGAGTTGAGCCCTCAGGCTCTTGGAGGAGTTTATTTTTACATCAGTTTTCAGTCAGAACATCAGAACAGATTGCTAGGCCCCTGGGCAGAACTTTAAAATGAAATAAATAACAACAATAATAAAGAACATTGTCATAAAAAGAACCAATTTATTGACTGAGGATCTGCAGGAGAGTTTGAATCCCATTCTGCTGCATATTTTCACTTGCTTTCTATTCCATCTTGCTAGAATTGTTTATTGAATTCAGCAAAGGCATAAATTTGGGAATTATTGCAAGCAAGTTGGAGGACAGAATCTGAATTCAAAATTATCTTGAAAGAAGCAGAAGTTACATCAAGAGGAAAATGAAGCTCAGCACGGGGGGAAGTAGCACAAGGTAATACACAGAGGCAAGAACAACTGGCTGCTTTAAATACAGATTGCAAACAACTGGGTAAGCAATCTGGGAGTTGTAACCAAAGGAAGCAGATAACACACTCAAGGCTTCAGCCTTGTTTCATTAAGCAGGCTTTTTTTTTTTTTAAATCTACTGGGTTAATTTAATCTCTTGGAAAATTTTCAGCACACAATTTTGTCCATGACAGCATTAGTCAATGATGCAGTAGCATAAAACATCCTTTTGGCCAAAATATTTCTGGTATGCTGCTGGAACCATTAAAAAAAAGCTAAAGTTATCCTTGGAGGAATAAAGGTGGGGGAGGAAATGTTGTGAATAGGGTTTTATCACAGTTCACAGCTTTGGCTGGAGCAGCAAAGGGGGGTTCTACTGGACACACTGACAGCAAGTGAAGAAAAGCCTCAAAATAATTCAGGAGTTGAGAAGGAGCTTTTTGGCAAGGAAAAAAAGTCATCCTTCATAGTTTACCAGAACAACTGGAAGGTGATGGACAGCAGAGAAGTCACTCAGTGATAGGAAAAGATGGTGTCCAGCCTCTTTCTGTAGATCAAGATCTAAGAGCTAAAAGCCAAAACCAACAAAGTCCTAACAGAGAAATAATGCCATTTGAAAAGTGAGAGTAATTAAACTCTGAAATAACCTGTTCAGACAGGCAGTGAATTCTCCTCTGCTCCTTGGCATGCAGAGTTGTCAGATGTCATTCCAGTGGAGGAATTTACATGCAAGGCATCTGAGAATTTTTTGAAGCAGAGGAAAGCCAAGAAAACAAGTGATTAAGCAAAGAAACCATTTGTTCCACCACTGCACCTAAACATCCATTTTGGA